TGTCACACTTGCTCTTCTGGGAAGTGCTATATTTTTATACTTATGTTATTATTTTTTTTGTGAGCACAGATGAAACATGCTAGTTGGTCGTATGGATATCGATGCGCTCTACAGCTTTTGTTTCAGGGAAGTGCTTGACACTTTGCTCCAGAAAAAAGTTATGAGGTCCAACAGGTGCAAGCATCACTTCTCTAAAAAGTAAGTGGTGCTCTCACCTTCTGAATTTCATAATTTTTAATTTTAAAGCAAAATTTCGATCACTTCCGTGGAACAAAAGTTGTAGAGCACATCGAGATCTACACGATTCACTAGTCTGTTTGTTCTATGGTCGCAAAATACAATAAAATTAGTCTAAAAGTATACCACTTCCCAGAAAAGTGTGACACTTCTAGTCACGAATATTAGATGATCCAGAAAATTGCTGCTTCCGATCTAATGTCTTTCTTGAGATATTGATCTCACAAGTTCCAATGAATAGGCATTAGGCCAGCGTATGACCAAAAAAAGATCTCGATATTTTGACTTGAAATTTTAGCCTCAGACCATGACAATTGGAATAAGATTCCTCGAAAAATTTTAGGTCGCCATCTCATGTCTCTGCTGAGATATTCATGTGAGAGATTTCAATGGACAGGTATCTTTCCTCTAACGACAGAAGGTATTCAAGTGTGATGCGTCGTTTTGAATCGGATATATAGTAGCGCTCAAAATTATAAGAACAAGGTATTTTGGTCTTTTTCTACTAGACTACAAATATATTCTAAATTCAAATAGTGATTCGCATAGGCAATAAGATGCTCTATCAGAGGCCTCATACACCATATTTTCATGGATGGATTAAGAGAGAAAAAGTCCTAAAATACAAAAACCGGCATTTTTCAACTCTCAGAAGCATTTATTAGGGTTATTTTTCAACAGCACCAGCGTTTAGAGTGAAAAAATATGCGCAAAATGAAGGGTCGCCGTATTTGTCACGACCTTCCCTTGCAAGGTTATAAGCATCATAAAAAATGAAAAAAATGTGAAATTCTACAAAAAAAATTGCTGAAAAACGGCGAAAAATTGCATTCGTTTCATCTTTTATGATGCTTGCAACTTTGCAAGGAAAGATTGTGGAAAATGCGGCGACCCTTCATTTTGTTCATACTTTTTCGCTCTATAAGATAGTACTGTTCAAAATGAGGGTGGGTGGGTGTGAGTGTGGATAAGAAGAATCTCACCCACACTGTACCTTATTCTTATAATTTTGAGCACTACTTTATTTGAGTTTGTAGAGCTCAATGAGATTAGAAAAAAGCCTAAAAGGGTTCGTTCTTATACCTTGTACTTCTTGAATCTTGGGTGTTTTACTGCATTTTCAATCTATGGCAAGGTAAAAAGAAGAAATCAAATTACGAGATTTCGACCTGGAAATTTGTCCACAGATAGCTCTTATAGCCATTAGAATGTTCGAAAAATTTTGGCTCAAAAGAATGCTTCCTTTTTTTGGTACTGAACATCTGAAATATGGTCATGTGTCACCAGCAAAGGCAGCAAATCGAATGTCTTTATCATCAAATATTTCAAGAAGAAAACATTCGTTTGAGCTAAAATTTTTCGAACATTCTAATAGCTATAAGAGCTATCTGCAGACAAATTTCCAGGTCGAAATCTTGTAATTCGATTTCTTCTTTTAAGGCTTGCCATTGGTCGAAAATGCAATAAAATACCCAAGATTCAAGAAGTATAACGTATGGAAATGAACCATTTTAGGTCATTTCTAGTCTCATCGAGCTCTACACACTCGTATATATCCTATTCAAAACGATGCGTCACACATGAATACCTTCCTTCTTTACTACACAAATGAAAACAGTAATCATGAAGCAATTGGGGGAATATTCTCAACTTTTCATCCACTTTTGCATGAAGATTATGTACAATCTCTTTGGAGTCGACACTACGTGCATTCTATAGACCTTCATGAGCTATGACTGTCCTGAAAAGAGTTTGTTCTAATGGATAGGATATCGTGGCAAAATTTCGAAAAAAAAATATCAAAATGTGAAATGTTGAAAGATCAAGAATCTAGAAAGATTAAAATCTCAAAAATGCAAAATTTCAAAATTTTAATCTTGCGTTAATCAACTATTGTATTCATTGTTCGTTTTCAAAGTGCGATACAGAATGAGACAGCAACAATAGAAATAATTTGAGCTTCTTTACAACAAGCAATGAAAATCCGTCATCATACACGTCGAAGTTGGTGTTCTTGCCTAGGAAACGCTTGGCTGAACACGACTTTATTTACCTCGAGATTGAATAAAACATAAAAACATATATGTTGATTTATTGAGTTTTATTTCGATGTCACTTATATCATCACTATTGATAGCGTAAAAATTTTTTCTTCATTAAAATTCAAATCAACACGCTTTTACATCTTTACATACAGATATGATCAGATTGAAGAGGATTTCTCTTGTGTTGTATTTTGTTCTTATATTTTGACATCTGCTTTGTATAATGAAAGGGATAAATTTTGTCATATGAAGGAAGATTTTGAAATAACTCGTGCGTAGCTAAGGCATAAAATTAAAACAGATAAAACGTATATGAGAGCAAATATTCACATACAGATATGATTAGATTAAACAAAATTTCTCTTGTGCTGAGTTTTGTGATTATATTTTGACATCTTCATTTTATAATCAAAACGATAAAGATAGGAATCTTTTGCTCTTTTCTCTGCTTTTCTCTCGTCCTCTCCACCATTTTCTATATATAAGCGTTAGTTGTATTTACTAATATCCTTCATTTCAATAGGACAAACTATACTTCTATACTTGTTCGATAACAAACTAGGTTTGATTTTTCTCTAATAAAAAGACATAGCAATTTTCTTAATTACTAAGATCATCCTCATTATCATTATTTTATATTTAGTGTAAAAGCATGAGAACCTATTGTGAATAGCGAACTGTTTCTGGATTTATCATTAGTTAGATCTTTGAAAACAAAAACCATTTGTACTTCAGTATGAAACGAGTTCTCCATTTGTCTAGAACTAGTATATACTCATTTTAATCTCCAACTAAAAATGAAGTCTGTGAAATATTATTATTATTACAGCAACAGAAAAAAAGAATGTTTGAGAGATTAATGAATTTATGTCTATATCGTTCGTATGTGCAAAATTAATCATGAATCCAATCAGATAGATCCTATTAACCAAATATTTTTCACACTAACATTTGTTATAGCGTGAATATTATATATTATGTTTGTTTTCAGGATATAATTTACATCAATAAAATAAAACACATTTGAATCAATCAAGATGTTGAAAAAGATCATCATCGTTATTCTTGTTATTTCATTGGTTTATATCAATGCTGGTTTAGTTCCAAAAGAACGAACTTCTGCTAATGAGAAGTGTGGAGGAGGATGTGTAACTTCAACGCAATGTGCAGCTTGGGCTGGCAATACGGATTGTCGCTGTAAGTGGTTTACATGTCAGTCAGAGGAAGGATGCGGTCGTAAAATTAACTGAAATATATCGGACAAAATCAAGTTTTCATGTATTTCAGCATCTTTCTTTTTAGCGTGTGTTTAATATTGAATAAATAACGGAAGAAAAAAGTTCATCGCTCATTTCTCATGCTGCGGCATTGTAGAAAAAAAATCTATGAGCCAAAATTTGTTTTATTTTCTTCAAAATTTAGAAGAGTTGTTTCGTACTGTGGAAACTTGCTGAGCTGAAACTACATCAATTAGAAAAGATCTAGTTTCACTTTAAATACTACTTTGAAATACACAAGCTCTACACTATAATGATCTATTTTCTCGGAAACAATCTCTTTTATTTTAACTCTTGGGATGTGCGTGTAAGTGTGGGTGCGGGTGTGGGCGTGAATGTGGGTGTGAACGTGAGTGTGGGTATGGGTATGGGTGTGGGTGATTGTGGGTGTGGGTGTGGGTTCGGATGTGGGTGTGGGTTCGGATGTGGGTGTGGGTTCGGATGTGGGTGTGGGTTCGGATGTGGGTGTGGGTGGCGGGTGTGGGTGTAGGGAATTGCGGGGCCACGTTTTTGGTCCCGGTCCCGGTCCCGGCTAATATTGTTTTTTAGTCCTGGTCCCGGTCCCGGGTGATATTTTTTTAGCTCCGGTTCCGGTCTCGTTTTTTTCATAGCGAACATAAAAAAATTTTGTAAGAAACCTATTACGGTACCGCACATAAGTGTGCGCCATGTAATGTGTATATTTCTGATTCTACTTTTATAAATCGTCTAAATAGTCTATTATCTGTCTATATGTGAATATTGTGAACATGTTAATGTTAATAGATATTTGAAAACATCGGTTTTTGTTTTCTTTTATGAAATAATAAAAGAATTTATTGATCATCAATCGAGTTGAAAAGACAATTGAGTTCTTTTTTTTATTCAAAATAATTTTTCGGGACCAGCTAAAAAATGGTTTCAGTCCCGGTCCCGGTACCTGTCCCGTAAAAAATAATTCTTGGTCCCACGGGACCGAGACCGGGACCATTTTGCAGTTCCCTATGTAGGTGGGGTGTGGGCGTGTGGGGTGTATGGGGTGTGTGGGTTGTGGGTAGGTGTGGTATGGGAGTGTGAAATGTGGGTGTGAATGTAGGCGTGGATGGGTGTGAATGTAGGCATGGGTGGGTTTGGGTGTCGAATGTATGTGTAACGACGAAGAGAAGAGCTTCAGTCACACCCACACCCACACCCACACCCCACACACACAAACACCCACACCCACACCCACCCACATGCACATGCACACGCACACGCACACGCACACCCATTCACAGCCACATCCACCAACAGCCACACCCACCCATAGCAAGTCTGAAGCCTGTTTTCTTCAATAGCTGAAGTCTGTACAGGAGTCTTTGGTTGTTAAGTGTCTATAATGGAGAGGGAGGAGCCGCAAAAACTTCGACTGAAAACCTACACTCACTATTTTCTTCGAAAATATATATGAGTTCCACAAACACTAACAAGTCTGCAAGAGAATATTTAAACTGTCAGTACCATTATTGACGACGGCAAAATCTAGTTTTCTATCATTGTTGAAATCCCCAACAGCAATCGAGAATGGATTGGATCTATAGTCCAACTGAATTAGCATGATGCTTCGAAAGGTGCCGTTGCCATATCCAAGAAGTACACCTAGATAATTGGCATCATGATTCGCGATGACAACGTCTTGTATAGTGTCGTTGTTAATGTCACTAACAGCTAAAGAGTATTGAGACGAATTTGAGCCTGTTGAATACATCGTTTGATTTCCAAAAGAGCCATTCCCATGTCCAAGAATAATACCAATCCTGTCCGACTCACAACTAGCAAAGACGATATCCACAAAAGTGTCATTATTGAAATCACCGACAGCCATAGAGCATGGGAATGAATACAGGTCAGTTAAATATGTCACTTGATTTGCAAAAACGATATTCCCATGTCCAAGAAAAATACCAATATTGTGGGTATGTGAATTGGTGACGCCAATATCCATTAGATCATCATTGTTAAAATCGCTAATCACTAACGACTGTGGTAAAGAACCATATCCAGTTACTAGTATCATTTGCTTTACAAAAATTATATGTGCACATCCGAGAAGGACACTTACATCATTACTATGATAATTGACAACAATGATATCTAGTCGAGTATCATTATTGAAATCACCAAAAGTTATAGCTAGTGGACCAGAGCCAGCTGAATACTTCGTTTGTTTCTCAAAAGAACCATTCCCATAACCAAGTAAGACACTTATATTATTGCCAGCCACATTCGCGACAACGATATCTAATCGAGTGTCGCCATTGAAATCACCTACAGCTACAGCTTGTGGACGAGTGCCAGCTGAATACTTGGTTTCATTCCCAAAAGAGCCGTTCCCATTTCCAAGAAGAACACTCACATCATTGCTATGATAATTGGCAATAACGATATCGAGTCGAGTGTCGTTGTTGAAATCACCAATAGCTACAGAACGTGGATAAATACCAACTGAATACATTGATTGATTCTTGAAAGAACCATCACCATATCCAAGCAGGATACTCACATTATTGCCAGCCGCATTGGTGACAATGATATCTAATCGATTATCGTTGTTGACATCGCCAATAGCTATAGCTTCTGGATAAGAGCCAACTGACAAATTTGTTTTAGGCGCAAAGGAACCATTTCCATATCCAAGAAGAACACTTACTTCATTGCTGTAAGAATTGGCGACAACAATATCTAGTCGAGTGTCATCGTTGAAATCACCAATAGCTATAGCTTGTGGATCAGAGCCAGCTGAATACCTTGTTTGATTTGCAAAAGAACCATTCCCAGTTCCAAGAAGGACACTCACATCATCGTCAAACCAATTGGCAACAACGATATCTAGTCGAGTGTCGTTGTTGAAATCACCAACAGCTATAGCTTCTGGATAGGAGCCAACTGAATATCTTGTTTCAGTTTCAAAAGAACCATTTCCAAAACCCAGGAGGACACTGACATCATCGCTACCTTCGTTGACAATAATGATATCTAGTCGAGTGTCTTTGTTGAAATCACCAATAGCTATAGAACGTGGATTAATGCCAATGGAATACTCAGTTTTAGCTGCAAAAGACCCATGATCGTACGCAGCAAAGATATCCACATTGTCACTTCCATCGTAAGCGATAGCGATCTCCGATTGTTTGTCATTATTAAAATCACCAGAAGCCATAACTAGCGGATGGATATCGAAAGCAATTTCATAACTTGTTTGACTCACAAATGTTCCTTTGTCATCTCCAAGCATCATATCTACATGTTTAGTACCATACTTGGCCACAGCAATATCCTTTTTCTTGTCACCATTGAAGTCACCAATAGCGAGAGAAATCGGATGAGAATTTGAGCCAGTGTCGATCATAATTTGATTTTCAAAACTGCCACTCCCATATCCAAAAAGGATGCCTATATTATTGGTGCCATAATTAGCCACAATAATATCCAGATGAGTGTCGCTGTTCATATCACCAATGGCTACACATCGAAGGCTAGAACCGCCGCCAGGTGCGAAAGCCATTTTATATTCAATTGCTCCTCTGTTTGATTGCAGCAGGACACTCACATCGTTGCTATCAAAATTAGCAACAACGATATCTAATCTAGTGTCGTTGTTGAAATCACCAATAGCTATAGCTTCTGGATGAGAACCAACTGAATACCTTGTGTCAATTTCAAAAGATCCATTGCCATGCCCAAGGAGGACACTCACATCATTACTTCCTTCGTTGACAACAATGATATCTAATCGAGTGTCGTTATTGAAATCATCAACAGCCACAGCTTGTGGATGGGAGCCAACAGAATACCTTGTTTCATTCACAAAATAGCCATTCTCATTTCTAAGAAGGACACTAATATCATTGTCAAACCAATTAGCAAGAACGATATCTAATTGAGTGTCGTTGTTGAAATCACCAATGGCTAGAGCTGTTACACGATTGCCACCCGAATATTTTGTTTGATTCTCAAAAGAACCATTTCCATATCCAAGAAGGACACTCACATCATTGCTATAATAGTTGGCAACAATGATGTCTAGCCAAGTGTCCTTGTTGAAATCGCCTACAGCTACAGAAGACGGTTTATAGCCAGTTGAATACCTTGTTTGATTTGCAAAAGAGCCATTCCCATTTCCAAGAAGGATACTTACATCATCGCTGTCGTAATTGGTGACAACGATATCTAGATGAGTGTCGTCATTGAAATCACCTATAGCTACAGAAGACGGATTATAGCCAGTTGAATACCTTGTTTGATATGCAAAAGAGCCATTCGCATTTCCAAGAAGGACACTCACATCATTGCTTTCGTAATTGACGATAACTAAATCTAGACGAGCGTCGTTGTTGAAATCACCAACAGCTACAGAGTATGAATTAGAGCCAACCGAGTACCTTGTTTCAGTTGCAAAAGAACCATCGCCATATCCAAAAAGGACATTTACACCATTGCTATTGTGATTGACGACAACGATATCTAATCGAGTATCGTTGTTGAAATCGCCAATAACTACAGATTGTGCACCGGAGCCAGCTGAATACCTTGTTTGATTTAAAAACCCATCATAATGACCAAGGAGAAGATCTATCGCACCAGTGTCATTGTTGACGGCAATGATGTCTAATCGATGATCGTTGTTGAAATCATCTATGGCAATTGAAATCGAAGAAGAAGATCCAGTTGAGTAGAATACTGGTTTTCCAAAAGAGCCGTTTCCATATCCGAAAAGTATTCCTATGTTGTTAGTGCCTTTATTGTTGATGACTATGTCCAATCGATTATCTTGGTTGAAGTCTTTGACAGTAATCGCATATGGAGAAGCAGAATCGATGAAATAGGTTGTTGGATCAGCAAAAATTTCATTGCCGTTGTTAAGAAGTACACATACTTTATGAGTTCCAGAATTAGCGATAGCTATATCGAGAAAGTTGTCGACATTGAAGTGACCAACAGCGATTGAGAATGGTTGAGAACTAAAGCCAGTTGAAAGAGTGATTTGCTTTGCAAAAGTAGTGTTGCTATTTCCGAAAAGTATGCGAATATCATTTGTGCCATAATTGGCAATGGCGAGATCTAGATAGTCGTCGTTATTGAAATCTCCTGCAGCTAATGAGGATGGAAGAGAATCATAACCTGTCGAATACGTAGTTGGAGATGAAAAACTTCCATTTCTATATTGATACAGTATACTGATACTGTGAGTTCCATAATTGGCGGTGGCAATATCAAGTAGTGTGTCATTGTTGAAATAAGCACCGATAATTGCTATCGGACGAGACAAGCCTGTTGAAAATTCTATTTGACTTTCGAAAGATCCATTGCCAAATCCATGAAAGATACCGACATTGTTAGTGCCAAAATTTGCTACTGCAATATCCAAATGATAATCATTGTTGAAATCACCAACTGTGACCATGTAAGGACTTGAGTAGGAACCAGTTGAATACTTGATTGAACTTTTAAAAAAGCCATTGCCATATCCAAGGTAAACAGCTATTTTGTTAACTATATGATGGGCAATAACCATATCAGGACATGTGTCATTGTTGAAATCACCGACGGCGACAGATCGTGGACCATACTTATATTCAATTGGTTTTTGAGCCGTTGGTTTGAACTTGAGCTCACACTTTTGAACTAAACGAAACATGAAAAGCAATGTGATGACTGATTGGTTGCTCAAGTGGGACTATCCCTGTTTGCTCGTATTGGATTCTCACAGGTTCTATAGTATGCTGTCAGAAATTGTCGTATTATTGTATTCGGACGAAACTCAAAATCAATCATCTTTCATTAGATTTCTACTTAGTTTCTTGAAATTCAGACAGAGCTAGATATATGCGCCTATATCATGCAGTTAATTGTCTATTTCCTTTACTTGATTTAATCTAGAATTCGTTCAAAAAGTGCGCCATTTTTGAGAATGAAGAAGAACGTCAACGAATACAATATGAGTAGGGATGTCGTATTAGCATTAAGTTAAAAATAATACTAATGCTTTTGCATTAGCATTAATGGCATTAGAGTTAATTAATGCTTGGGTGTTAGCATTAATTTAGCATTATTTTTAAGGCTAATACATATACACAGTGACAATTCTAGACTGCTACCTCTCATACTACCTTCAACTTTTTAAGGGATACCAGGGGGTACTCTTTGTAACTTTCCAAGGGTTATCAGGGAGTACTCTTTGTAACTTTTCAAGGGTTATCAGAGGGTACCCTTGATAACTTTTCAAGGGTTACCATGGGGTACTGTTGGTAACGTTTCAAGGGCTACCTAGGGTACCCTTAATAACTCTTCAAGGGTTACCTGGAGGTACTCCTTGTAACTTTTCAAGGACTGCCTAGGGGTACCCTTGATAACTTTTCAAGGGCTACAATGGGATACCCTTTGTAACTTTTCAAGGGCTACCGTGGCGTACCTCAGGTAACTTTTCAAGGGCTACTATGGGGTAGTCTTCAGTGGCGTACGAAGGGGGTGTGGGTGTGGGTGTACATCTACTCTTGAAAGGCATCTAAATCCACACCCCACTCACACCTACCCACACCCACACCCAACGGTACCGTCAGAAAGCCCTTGAAAAGTTACTAAGGGTACTCCCAGAAAGCTCTTGAAAAGTTACCAAGGCTACCGCCAGATAGTCCTTCGAAAGTTACCAAGGGTACTTCTAGGAAGCCCTTGAAAAGTTTCAAAGAGTACCACTAGGAAGCGCTTGAAAGTTACGGAGCCTACCCCCAAGTAGTCCTTAAAAAGTCAAAGGAGTATGTCAAGGTAGCAGTCTAGAATTGTTACTGTGTATATGCATTAGCATTAAAAATAATGCTAAATTAATGCTAACACCTAAGCATTAATTAACCCTAATGCCATTAATGCTAAAGCATTAGTGTTAACTATTAATGCTAATGCGACACCCCTAAATATGAGTGAAGAGTGTAAGGGTGCGCGCCACACTGCATGACTACATGTAATCACTTCTACATTTTGCAATTTCTTTTTCTAGGATTTACTTTGCTAAAAGTTTGATACAAACAATGAAAGTTTCCTATTGTTGCACGATTAAATGGTAATCAAAATTATTGTGTTAAGTACTGCTTTCAGAGATTTCATAAATATTTTGAACTGATAATTACATTAATAAACAGAATATAAAAGTTTCTGTTACGAATATTTGAGAATTATGATGGACAAAACTATGAGAATAGAGAAAGAGATAAAAATCTACTGGTCGAGTAATCCTACAGGAACAGCACAATATATAAGCAAAGAAGAAGAGAAAATGACACAAGGAATGACAAACCGCATAGTGAATGTAGGTGTCAGTGGTTTCATAATAAGAACAACGAATGATGATCGATAATTTTTGTGCGACATCTGCGCAATTATTGTGTTCAACTCTTTTTTCTTACAGTGACAAATCTATGACTTTAATTGGTTTATTCCGTCAGAAACGATCATACATGTTATTTTAAGTTATTTAGTTACAGACCCGCCATATAACCTTATTTTACCTACAAAAGTAGCTAAAATATCAATAAAAAAGAACATACCAGTAGCTTTTGATGAAGTGAAACAAACTGTCAGTACACCAATAGTTATTGCTATAATTGTGAATACAGCAAATGCACCTACAGCAATTGAAGATCGATGTCGTGACCAACACGAAAATTCTCTAATAAAGACATTCTATAGATTATCATGATTGAACATAAAAGCAAATGACATACAATGGTGTTGGAGTCATTGGTGACACCTTCGTTTTATTAGTAACCATGGTACCTTCTGCTGAATTAAATTGATTTTGCGTTGAGTTTTCACGTTGCTCATTGCCAACATGACGATGTTGTGCAGCAAATGAATTCTCAACTAAGATAGCATGATCATCCGTAAAATTTTCATTCATCTATAGTAAAAGAACAGTATTTAATAAAAGATAGTTTTCAGCAAATAGTCGTCATTCACCAGAACACTTCTATAAATTACCTTTCGAGTTATCGATACTGTCCTTGCTATGCTGCAAAGTTGCAAAGTCTTGATGAATTAGAAAATATCTAAAATAACAGGATTAATTACATCAATAATCCTGACTTAGAATTTTAAATGATCAGATATTTGTTTTTTGTTTTGAAAAAAATTGCTCATTTGTTAGGTATGAATAGTCTCTTAATGAACATCAATATAACTAGGCTGTATCAAATGAGGATACCGTTTCAAAAAGTTCCAATCTTAGCCGAAAGCAAAACATAGATAGGTGTTGGAAACATGAATATAGAACATAGTGTGAGCCAGTACTCAATGAGGTATGCTTTCATAAAAGTCCTTTTTTTTGTGCCAAGTTGATTCAATGGACTGAACTATGTGTTAAAATATGTTTTTGCTTTTAACTAATTAGTTCCGACATTTGTAAATGTTCCATTGGCAACGTTTTTCTTATTGATTTGTCTTGTTTGTCTATAGCTCTGTTTTCGAAATCGTTTTGATTCATGAGAATGTAATTTATTAATTAAATGGTACATTCTTTTGTCTAGTATGACTTAGACGTGTTTGTCAATGAATTTTAATTTTGTAAAAAAATGAATAATTATTTCTAAAAGATATTTTGTCAATTCGATCATTTAAAATAATTTCTTTCTATGATCATTATCGATCGAATAATTAGAAAGTTTTTTCATTTCATTCAATCAACTATACATAACTCTAGTAATTGGATTAAGATAGATGTGATTATGATGGAATCAAAGCTGCAGATGCGATGACTATCTAAGATCTTATTTTAGTTCGATTTTCAAATTTGAAATAATCAGATACTCTTTCACAGTAAGACGACATACAAATGTCTATAATTTCTAAATAATATCCTGTTAAGCGGGAAAATGTTTTGATCTATAGTTTATCATCAATATTAATGATAAAAACTACATTTTAGATGGACGAAACATTTAGAAAAACCAATATATGAAATTAGAGATAATCGATAACATACAAAGTGGGCCATAAATAATAGTATGATAAAAATTGTGATATCTCGGCTCGGGTTCAATCAAATCAACTGATTTTTTGGTGAGTAGTAGAACTTTATTCAAGATTATTTTCCATACGGATAATGTAAGCGAATATTTCCATTAAGTCTTATTACTGACTTCACTAAAAAAAGATTGATCATTGTCAAATGTGCAAAAATATGTGGAACATTCGATATATAATTTTCAGTTGTCACCTTAGAGAATTACAAGAAGAAATCAAAATGCATGTTACGAATACTATAGCACTAATGAAAATAAAGTAAATTTTTAATACCAGTTAGATCACATGCTGAAACTTGTGTTCGATAGCTAAAACACTCAATCGAAGCCCTTTAGACACTAACTCATCAATTTCCCTGCAAAAGTCAGCATTTCATACTTGAAAATCCGGGATATTGTAACTGTTGGCTTTCAATCTAACTGGTACTGAAAATTTGCTTTATTTTCATCAGTGTTATAGCATTCATAGAGTGCATATTGCTTTCTTGATTTTTTTAGTAAAGTCAGTAATAAGACTTAATGAAAATATTTGCTTACATTATCCGTATGAAAAAAATTTCGAATAAAGTTCTACCACTGGTCAAAAAATCAGCCGATTTGATTGAACCCAGGCGGAAATATCTCAACTTTTTATCGTACTGTTATTTATGGCCCACCTTGTATACATATATATTACAGAATTTAACAGACAAAAAATACCTTTCACAAACAAAAGATGCTGAAATTCCATGCATATTAGATTAATTCGACTCTGTTTGTTTCTTAGTCCACTGAAGACATCTTTTAGCAAAGGTTAGCAGTTTTTATACGATATTTTTATGTTTTTCTATATTCACAAAAAATTTTGTTTTTCGCAATCAGAAGAGCGAGTCTAAAACAGAATGATTTCTCAATTCATGTGATATTACTTTTAACATTGGACCAAGCCTAATTGATCAAGGTGAAAACACGGACTAGCACATTTGATCAATATGCATGTCCACCTAATTTATTTACTCATAAAAAATTTACCAATTTTTATATTCTTTTTTATTTTTTTTCGAAACGAGAGTCAAAAGTCTTGTGAGAGAATTTCTTCAACTGATACTATCCATTTAATCTCATATCTATCTAATAAGTTCAATTTACAAAAAAGATCAAAATTCTAAACAGATTTTACTAAATTTTTATTATTGTTAGAAAAAATGCGCACAATTAATTTATGCATATCAGTTTATTTTGTTCTTGTTATATTTCAACAATTAAAGACGAGAATTACTTCTTTTGTAGTAGCCTGCTGTTTCTGATGATCGTTTACAGATGGCTCTGATCACTTGTTTTTGTTGAAAAAAGGATATTGAAAAAAAATGATAAATCATGATAGTCATAAATCAAAATCCATTTTTCTATGCTCATAGAATGACTCATGTTGAAATCGTAGTAGTTATACAGATCGATTAAATCCTCGTATTGGATGACCTAAAAACACTGATGCGATTAGAATATTAAATTTTTCTCTACTGAAACACGTGATTATAAACCTGTCTCTATAATGAAAAGATGCAGTAAAAAACACTACAAGATTACTTTTGTTTGAGTTAACTATCTCATGTATATAGCTTGAGTGCTCAGTTCACTTGCAAAGTCAGTTAAAATCATAGTATAATTAATTTTAGATGTCGAATAGGTTATCTGTAGAAGAACAACTACTCACGGAGACTCATTCTTTCTTTGAAGAAAGTGAATTCCATTTGAATAACGCTCCGAATTGTTCAGAAATTGTTCTTTAACTTTCACTTTTTTCTAAAACGTATTAATTCTCTTATTGGTTTTTTGAATTGTTACTTTCTAATAGTTCTTGATACACTACATTTCAGTCTATCGTTTATCATCCTCCTTTGTAATATTCGATTTCTTTTTTCTTCTTAATGCATCATAACATTATATAGGAAGTTTTTCGGAAGATAGTCATCCGTCAGTAATGTCCGTTGTTAGCCAAGTGGGCTTCATTTTCTTCAAAGAAAGAATAAGTCCACGAAAATGTTTTTCAAGGGAAAATGTGCTTCACATTTAAAATTAATTATATTATGACATAAATGAAATTTTGAAAGTTAACTAAATGTTCAAGGTGTACTTTGTCGATTATTTTCTGCTTTTACTCTGGAAAGCTCACAAATAATTTCCATTTTTTGTGAAGTACAATTACAAGCTTATAACTTTTTAGCTATATGAACTAGTAAACTTAATAGAAAGTCATTTTATAGAGCATCTTTTATTGCATCTTTTCATTCTAGAGATACTTTTATAGTCACGTGTTTTACTATAGAAACGTTTAATATTCAAATCGAGTCAGGATTTCTGGGTCACACTTTTCTAAGACATATTGAATATATTAGAGATGCTGATTACAACAAATGGAACCAATAAAATTTCATTCATCTCTGTGAATATTTTCTACATTTTCTGCACATGACATTATGTCTCATAAATTGTTTCTTTTATAGAAACGTTATGCTTCAGATGCTGAAAATGTCTCTGTGCTCATGTCTCAAGAATACTCAATTCAATAGAACCTTATCAATGACTTATTACCTTTCTAAACAATTACGGAACTTGATACTATTTTATATCTATCGTTGATTGCGCTCTATAACCACCAGTCACATAGTTGAAAAGGATCCCATAATCTAGAGAGGACTGAACTATGGATTATAGTAGACAGTTTTTATTTGACAAATGTATCTAATTGCTGCATCGCCTAAGAATATCATGGTATCGATATTAGACAACAAGGGTTAGATAAAAGTGTCACGAAAACACGCATTTAAGTCTTCACGTCAGCTGAGAATCACACGGTATTGAGAATGGCTGATGTCGAACTTATTTTGTATGTTTACAAAATTTGAATGGAAATTTCTATTGCTCTTTTTCAGTCAAGAGTTGATTCAGTCTTTTGGAACTCCATGATTGAATTACTAAGGGATGGAATTGTTTTGACTAGGAATGGTGAGATTGCATGAAGTAATGAGTAAATTTTCTCAGGATAATATCAATTGTTCATATTGAGGCCTATCATTGTGATTAACATAGCAATCTATAGTATAGTCTACTTTAAAATGAATATCTTTGAGAATTCTTTTATCAATATATTAATAAATGATGTAGGTGGTAAATATAATCAAAATTTGAATTCTCATATTTTGAAGCCTACTAACCACATGAAATAGTATCAATTCCTCTAACATTCGTACAAGATTATGAGTAAATGTTAAAATTATTTAGCACATGCTTCCAATGTATCGTGTGTAAATCTTTGCTTACCGGCTATGGATTGGCTCTCGAAAAACTATTGATGTCTGTTTCTCTCGAAGCCCTTTTCCGATAGCATGCTGATTATGCTGTAATATACGCTGGCTCTTGTCGGTAATATGTGGGTATTCAGTGTATTCGACGTCCGCAAGTGATTGGACAGTAGAAGTTCAGGTTAAGCTGACTTTTGGTTCAGATCTAGACCGAATATTTGTTGTAGAAGCTTCGTTTGACTTATGAAACTATCTGTCTGTATCACCTTATACTGTGAGTTTGTCGAAAGACTGAGCAATTATTCTTTCTTCTTCTACGATATTGTTCAATAGCACACTAGTCGATTCTATCTACGATTTTGGACTATTTTCATAATTGTGAGTGTTTTGATTGAAACATAGTGCTTGCCAAACAATGCAGAGATTAGTTTATATATGTGTACAAGTAGATTGCAACATTTTTGTACCGTTTTAGGAACAAAATGAGTGGAAAACGTTTTTGGTTTGAAAGATAATAAGTAATTAGTACATGTAACTGTACTTTTGCGAGGTAAGAAAAAGAATAAATTTTCCCGATTACTACTGTTATTATGGCCGAG